TTTTAATGAAAATCAAGGAAGTGGCACTATGACTTAAGCAAGGGCTTTAGGAGTACAGGTTCAAGTTGAAGTCTCAGCTCTTATTCCACCCAGATATGTGAACCTGGACAAGTTATTCAAGCTCTGTAAGTTTTACTTTTGCATCCACAAAATGATGGTAAAGGTATCTTTTATTACATTATAGAATTGTTATGAGGATTTAGTTATATAATGGATCTAGTATGAACATTTAAGCAATAAATAGTAACTTCTTGAGACAAATATATGGCCACATAATCAGTGAAGCCTTGGCAGGGTTAGATCTAAGCCCAAGCTTCAATTCAGAGCATAACTTTTGATTCTGTGTTTTGTGTCTTTTAAAATGCACTGTAATTCAGTAGATCCCTTTTCGAAAGGTATTTAGTGAGAAAGGCAATAATTGTGTGAGTCAAAGATTTTCTTACATTGCTGTCCTCTTCTCCCTAGCAATGATAAAACAGAAACAGACTCATAGGTACAGAGAACAGAATGACAGCTGTCAGACCACAGGGAGGTTGGGGGCTGAGTGAAAAAAGGGAAGAGATTAAGCAAAAAAAAAAAAGAAATAAAAACTCATAGACACTCAAGAAATAAAAACTCTCATCCCTGCGGTAATGACCAGAGGGAAAGGGGATGGGGAGAAGAACAGGGTAAAGAGGGAGAAATGGGGGTGGAAGGAGACTTGACTCGGGGTGGCGAGCACACAATACGATATACAGCTGATGTGTCATAGAACAGTACGCATGAAACCTATATAATTCTGTTAACCATTGTCACCCCAATAAATTCAATAAAATTTTTAAAAATTAGGCCTCAGCCCTGATGTGAACATCACATCTCCTGGTTTGGTCCTAACAAATTGTACTGAGTCTTTTTCAAGCAATGTCAGTTACATGTGTTATTTGCTTTGTTTCTGTTATTGTTGTTGTTTATTCTTTAAAAAGTTAGTAAAGCAGAAATAGCCATTTTGTGAAACGTACATAGTTAGAGTTGTGATTCTTATGAGGGTACTAATCTATCTGTTATGCACTGGATCAATCTGTAAATTAAATTGATTAATCTAGCAGGAAAAAAAGGGGTCTCGAGTTTTTTCTCAATTAGCGCTTCCTCAATGGTCATCATCCTAATAAATGGCTCAATATGCATGAAAAAGATGAGCGAGAGTAGAGTTTAAGCTTTTTAGATTCTGTCAGATACAATTGCTCCTGGAAGTTTTTATTTTTGACAGGCTTTAATGTTAAAACCTTTCAGTGACTACCAGAACATTTCTGATACTCATTGATTGGTTTACTGAATGTGTGACTATATTTGAACTATATTCTGCGTTTTCACTTTACTATTATTTTCATCTTGTCTGATTGAAAATCCTCCTGATGATCCCTGTAACAACGTGTGATTGGAATACTAACTTCACATGTTGAGGACTTGGTGCTGCAGCTGAGAGGTGTGTAAATACAAGCTGCTTATTTGCAAGAAGCTTCCAGATTTGCAATATGATTGCTATGGAAACCACATAATGAAAACCTTATAACCATCTGTGTGGTTTGATGGATTTTACTGCATAGCTGAGCTGTTTTTGTTTACTGTTATTAAAATGTTGAATGGAATATATTAACCCACAAACATGGACTATCTAAGGTATTAATTAGTATTGTATAATGACATCACACCTCAACACCAAAATAAATGTTTAACAATGGACCTAAATAGAACACTGTGTGTTTCTATTTCTAATATATTGTGATGGTGATTATTTCCTAGAATCTCAGTCACTTGGCCTAACATATTTTTGAGTGGTATAGAGAGGTTTGCTCTGTTATAAATGAGTATGATAGAATTTATTTTCATGATTTTTGAATCCATTTCTTCACTTGGTATTTATTGAACATCTCCCTTATATCGTATTTTATTCAAAATTCAGTCTGAGTTTTTTTCCCTAAGATTAAAACAAACACACACACGCACACACCAAGATTTGACTTTGTTGTCTTTTTTATGGAAGCTACTTGTATTGTTAGCACAAGATAAAATGAGTTGTTGGAACATTGTTAAGACAAAATTGATGTATGGAACATAGAAGCCTTTGACCTAAAAATATCAGTACTAGGTTTGAAATGGAGAAACAAAGTGATTTTAATCAGTATCTCATCCTCTAAAATACTGCTTATTAAGCATTTCATGTGGCTTTCAATTTGGATACTTACAGTAAATATTGATATTGAGTAAGTATTTTTAATATTCTGGTAATTTAAGAATATACTGTGCATATTAAGGCACTTAAATTTTAGTAAAATAAGAATAAATTCATAGTAATAAATTCTAACTTATTAACTTTGCCAAGAGCCAACTTTTAAAATTTAATTATTATATTAGTTTGATATCTTGACAATGACTTTGGGTGGTGAGTCTAAATCCCATAGTCTCTTCTTAAGAGCCAAGAATACTGCTCCTTATATTGATGGGGTTATGGCTTTTGACTTAAGGACAAGTGCCCTTAATTATTTTTGAATTTACTTCTTACTATTGTACTTATGACCAAATTGTAAGAGAGGGAGTACTGGGGAAAATGAAAGTAAGAGAGAGCTTCCTCCCTCACCTTTGAAAATATTGTCAATCTGTAAAATGAGTAGGTTAGACAAAATGACTGTAAATGTCCCTAATTTTTATGAAAACACCCTGTTTTAGCCCATGTATGATAGCTTGGCCTTGAAGTTTGGCATAGCTAGCTAACTGTTGTTGAAGAGAAAAGAGACAGGATTTAGTATCAGACTTTTTATGAGGTCTTTTAGGTATTCATTACTCTTTGACTAAACCATATTAAGTTGACAGTGTTAGGTTCAACTCAATATATATAAATTATCAAATGTTTCCAGCTCTTCCTTACATTGGAGCTTTTCATTATTTTGTTTGAATTGAATTATAAAAATCTGCAACGGTTGTATTTGTCTTATAAGCAGAATAACCTCCAAGCCTGATTTAAATGTTGATTTTCCTTAATCACCACTTTAAAATTTGCATGAGCCTTCCATATTTGCATGTGCAGTCCTGACCTCTCTACCAGCCTTTCCAGCCGCCCCTGGACATTTCCTCTGGGTTGCCTTACCAGTGCATTCAGCGTCTCTTGTCAGAAACACAACTCCTTGTGTTTCCTCAGCAAAATGGCTTATCTCTGCTATTCTCTTTTTTAATAATGATGTTCCCATCGCTCAGTTAACTAAGCTCAAAACCTCAGTCATCCTTGGTTGCTCTCCCCACTCCATAACCCTCCCTATCCAGTCAGGCACAGAGTTTATCAATTCTGCTTCCTTTACCCCTCCTGACCCTCTCCTTTCCACTTCCTCTGCCCCTTCAGCTCAGGGTTTCCTTCCCCTTCAGCCAAACTCCGAGTGTCTCTCTCCCCAGGCCCCTCCTCTAGGATCTGACACAGTGGGAGCAGATGAGCCTTCCTCGGGCATAATTTCAGTCCTGCCCTTTCTCCGCTCACAGATCTTCTGGGACTTGCGTTGCCCACCAAGTAAAAGTCGAACATCCATGGCAGGATGTGCAATGCCCTTCAATGACTGGCCCAAACTACCAGCATTCTCTCCCACCCTGCTCTCTTCCTCTGAGTACCACGTTCTTTAGCTAAAAAGAACTTGCCATCTCCCCTTGTTCAGATTCTCTCCATCTTTCAGGGCCTTCATGGTATTCCTTGCTGGGTGGTTTCTTCTCTGCTCCTTCATGCCTGGACATCACACGTCAGGTTTTAGGCCCCTATCCCATTTTCCTTTAGATTCTGTCTTCTGTCCCTCTAGGTTGTCAGCTTCCTGGAGGCAGAATCTCCCTACTGTCCTTGACTTCTTGGTGGAATCTCTCTTTTACCTGTAGTTAGTACTCAATGAAGATTTATTGGTTGAATTATTTAATAGTCATAACAGCTATATTTATATATTTAGCATACTTATTTTTAAAGTTCTGGATTTTTCTTGAAATTGTGATTCTTTTTGAACCCAGTGTTTCTTTAGCATACCATTTCGTTCATATGCCTTGCCTTAAGTATTTCTAAGTTTTATATATCCCTAGGTGAGGAAAGTGGTAATATAAGAAGTGTTTCTTTGTTGTCAAAGAATCAGTCTATTGGCTCTGTTAAAAACTGTTCTCCTTAATCTTACTATATTTCTTCCTATAACTCAGAGAAGGAATGTGATGGGAGAGTATGGAAATAATATAGGTAAGGCACTTAATGTATGTGGGCTAAGGAACATGGACTTTATAATCAGACCTGAGTTTGATTCAAACTATAATTCAAACCTGAGTTTGAATGACAAAAATTGGAAACTGCTTTACATTTTCAATTCTCACTGTACTCACCTGTTAAATGAGGATTTAAAAATTATCTACCTACGAAATCTATACATCTGCCATAGTATATGACACGTAGTAGATTCTCAGTATAATTATGGGGTGAAGCGGTTATCTTGAAGGGTAAGGATCCTTCTAGCGTCCTCCTGTGAAGATCAAGTGAGTCAGCCTACCAAGTCTCTCATACTCAATAAGAGACTGTATTTTTTATTACACGCTTTCCTTTTGCTAGAATATTGATGTTTTAGGCACCGTGGCTTGGGGTGAGGTACTCTCGCCAGTGTAATGTAGTCCGTCTGTGTAGAGCTGGCCATCGTTTTACTGGACATCAGGGCTTTTCCGGGTCTGAGATTGTCCCAGGTCAGTCTCTACAAGGATGTAACACAACATATGCGAAGCACTAGTACATATGTTAAATTTTATTAAGCCAGCCGGTAAGGTTGCTATTTGGAAATAGGTAGAGGTTTATTTGTTCAGCTTTAGATTATTGACAAAGGAATGTGAATTGTTGAGTGGTTTCCTTCTCTGAATAGGAATCTTTATGTGTTATCAACTTTTAGTTTTGCTCTTAAGATGGGGAATACTGTGTCCTTATCTCAGAGGAAACCCTTCAGTGTGCCCTGTGCATTGTTTACTTGCAGAGGAGGAAGAGGACGGCGCTCCCAGGAAGGTGGAGGAACAAAGGAAGATGAGTCAGGACAGTGCTCATCACACCACAGGTAATGAATCGCGAGGCTTCTCAGGGAAGCTTCTTTTGGTTTTGTTCACGTTCTTACCGCCCCGCAGACGTTGCCACAGCTCCTCAAAGCTGGCTCCTCCAGTGCGGGTATCTTCCGGCTGATAAACTGCTTAGCCCCATTTAGGATGCATGAAAACCACTTGAGAAGGATTTATAAAGTAAGCCAATTTATACAAGGTATTCCTTCCTGAATTACTTTGTAATGACTCAATTAGCTTTCATTTCTGCACAAAGGAGATTTAGTTGCATAAATTAGCTTATCATCATTGAGGAAGTGTCACTGCTAAAGGACAGTTTATAGATACAACATGCAGTTGCTGTCAAACCTATAAGAATGTAATATAGACATCTGTGTATACTTTGTGCTTGAGCAGAACAGACTTCTGCCATTCAGATACTAACAGGGGACAACAAGTTGCCCAGGGGACTGGCAATGTAGACATCTCTGAAAAGGTCAACTTGACACAGGCTCTGACAATCGACCCACAGCTCTGTCTTCTTTGATAAAAATCAGATAAACTTAAGACCGCTAATTGATCTGCAGCCTGTTTAAATGTTGGCCATGCATATCTTCATTGCATATGATTAACACAGAAAGCAAATGAATTGGGTAAGAAATGCCAGGGTCCAGTGACAGCAGCTTGAAAATTGGCAAAGGACGCCGGTGGCCCACAAGTCCAGGAAGGATAGCCCCCTTATCCATTTCCACTTGGCACTTTGCCCCATGCACTAATTATGACCAAGACTGAAAAAACTGCCCAGGCTATGGACAAAATCGCACAACATGCTCAACTTTTCTTGCTGATTGTTATTTCCAAATAACAGGAGATAAACCATATCTGTAGTGGAAGCAGGAGGTGAGTTTTGATAAACCAACAATTATTTTACACGGAAAGATGAGAAGGACTGCCTTCTTATCAGGACTTTACCCCTCTTTGTAGCCTCATGTCAGCTGGGGCAAGGTCTGCCGTATCATCCCATGTCCTGCAAAGAGCCTGAGCTGGGAGTCACCTTCCCCTCTCTGATACGTCCATACATCACTCTTTCGAGCTGTCAGAGGCAGGGTGGACAAGAAGTGTGTGTTCAGGAAGTGGCTTTCTAGAGTCCTTCCTACTGAGACATGTGGAGAGGAAACAGAGGCCTGATTTCCGGACCTGGACAGGAAAGCAGGAGCAGGTTGCTGCAAAAGGTTTTGGTTTGCTTTTTTCAGAAAGGAAGTGAGGATGGAGTCATTAGATGTTAGCACTCAGGCCCTGTAAAATGCAGCTATAAAACATTCCGGCGGAGTGAAACCTTGAGGATGATGTTCACCAGTAATTTAAGTATATATGTTTTATTATGTGTCATAAGCTCCTGCCAAAAGCATATAGATTTCTTTTTAAGAATTTCCATGCAGGTGTAGAACATAGACACATATAGAGGCACTTTCCACAAATTTAAGTATTTTGTCTTGAAGCAGTTGTATTTTCCAAAAACCCTTTTATAGTGACTATCTCCCAAATTTTTGCCTTTGAGGGAAGGGGAAAAAAAATCAGGTTTTTCTCAGAGGAATGCATTAAATAGATCTAGCTTTTCATGCAATAGCTATAAATTAGCCCTGCAATAATTCTTATCTTTCGTGACATGAAATTCTTTTCAAGCAACAGTTTTAACGCTTTTGCATAGCGGTGACCTTTGCCCTCCCCAGGCTGTCAGAGATGTAACACTAGAAGTTTGTTTGCTGTGCGGGGCAGAGAGTTGACAAGGGTGTTGCTATCTCGCTGAGCATCACATGATGTGAACTTCTAACCTTACTCAAGAATGTTACATATTTTTCACATTGAGTGATTTTACTTAAAAAAAAGTCAGACTAATGTAAAATACGTAAGCAAAAGCAAAATTAATCTTGGATTTCTTACAAGCTCTTTTATGTTCAAGCTTATATGTCTTGAATATGTTGGTTATATTTATAATAAAGATTCCATTTGATTTTTTTGAACATCGTACAATATGCTTATCTTTCTAAAATAGTTTTTAACACTACTGAAGGAAAGATTCTCTATTATTTTATTGTTGTATATTTCACTCATTGTCATCATTTTCAAAACCTTTGCATTTTTGCAAAAGTATCTCCAATGTTTAGTTTATATTTTCACAATAATTTTATTATTGCCCAATGATCCACTTCTGTATTTTTTAAAAAGCAGAAGCAGGTCTATTGTTTAAATCTGTCACAGGCTGAGTAATTTAAATTTTTTCTTTCTTTTTTTAATCATGCCTCTCAGGACAAGAAACATTGTTGATTTTTTTATGTCATTTTGAAAACATAGATCATCATGTGGATAGAATAAGAAAATAAGAAAATCTGTGCTATAAAGACAGCAGACTTAATTTGTATTTGGAACGTATGCTTATCTATGGTTTATGACGTTATGCTTCATCCCATGTCTCAGTATTTTTTAGAAACGTACTTCACATGGATTATTTTTTCAGTGCATAGGTGAACGGTGTTAACTTTGGGGAAGCCGCTGTGCTTCTGAGGCTCCATCTGTGCATAATGTTTTGGAGTATGTTCAGCCACACTTAAAATTTTAAAAAGTAAGACAGAGGAGCTCACTGCTCTCTAAGGAACAAGATAATGCCTAATTTTTATGTCTAGAATTTATACCAAGAATCATAGCGTTACTTTCCTGAGGAGACTAAAGCTAAGAAACATGTAATTCCACATTTTCTCCCTGGCTGGGATTCTACTTTATGCTGAAATATATGTGGAAATGGAACAGTAAATTGTGTATACGTGTAGCCATGTGACACAAACAACTTATTATTCTTTACCAGGACTCACATATGGGACACTGAAATGAGGTTGGTCTTTGGGTAACACCATCATGAAGATTATAGGAAGCACAGCGGAAAATGTGTCCTCTCCCCAGTACAGCTGCATCGCTAGTTTGGTCACCTCGTAAGGCAGTGAGATTTAATGAAACGCTTGTGATGCACATCTAGGGAGAGATATATTCGGCACACAGTGGGGGTCCTGTGCCCCTCATGTGCTCCTGTAACTCCCATTAGTGTTAATGGGAGTTTCACCAAGCGCATCGAGGGGAAGAGAGACCCCAAAGTGATAAGGATTATTATGCATTAGAAATCATCATATACTTTTCGTTTCCTTTCTTCCTCCCCTGAACCTCTTGAAAATCTATTGAATGAGAAACTATTGTGAGAGGGTCTGAAAAAGGAAACAGCCGGCAGCAGGCTGGACAGCTGAGGAGGCCGCTGGGACGCCGCCGGCCTAGCCAAGCCACAACTTCTACTCTACTTGTTAGCCCAAGTTTGGTTCTTCAGCTTTTTTTGGATCAAGCCTCAGGCTGAGCCGCATGGGGAACACACAGGAGCCTCAGCTATGCAGATCCTTTTACCTCCTGGCCAGTGACTGCAGGGGAGGGCCGTGCATGTGAAATGATGTCATCCTCTTTTTGCTCTAATTCCCGGACTTTAAAACTGACACTGACGGACTGCATGGGGCGCAACATTTGACCCATTTAGCAGTTGATTCAATCTGGCTAGGATGTTTCAACTTCTAAATCTCTATTTATCTAAATAAGTGGTTTTTAAAGGAAATCAGTCACTTTATTATTAAGTCATTTTTTCTAAAAAAATAATAATTTGACAATGTTTGGAGTGATCTGTCCAGCCAGAGTGCCCTCTAGTGTCCATTTGTAGAATTTACTTAATATATGCGTTGTGGGGGGAATGTAATGAAGGGTGGCCACAAGCATTGTTAGTTCTTGGTTGGATTCCCAGGCTTGTGCACATCCCCGCTGGTATCCGTGATGAGTGCTCAAATGCTAGAGTGGAGAAGTCAGCAAGGTATTCCTCTCTCTCTGTCTCCCTCTCTCCACCCCTCCCTCTTTTCTTCTTCCCTCCCACATCCCTCCCCCCTTCCCTCCTTCTCTTTGTTTTAATTCTTAGAAAACAAGAGAAAAAATTTAATAGGAAAATTTTGCTAGATAGTGTATTTTAGTTCCTTGTTTATTTTCTTAAAAAGTATAATTAAAAAGTCTCATTTTCCTAAATATTCAGATTCCCTATTATTCAGATTTTCTTTTTGGCTTTAAAAAACGTTTTCAGTATTGAAGAGAATTTTTAAAATGTCTAATGAACACAGCACTTTGTCCATAACACAAACCATGTGTGATAAGACGAATGCCCTGAAGCCATGCTAATCTGACTGGTTGTGCCGGAATTGCCAAGGAGCTTGCTGTTTGAGAGCCACGTAACAAAACTACGATGACAACACTGCTCCAGCATGTGCCCCTCCACAGCCATCCCCTCCGAATTCAAAGGTGACATTCAGTGATGGAAGCTGTCAGCACGTGTGTGTCCTGCCTGGTTCCTGAACACACGGACATTGTATTGATATTGCTTGCATTCTTTTTGCGTTAACTCATCAAAACTCAATTATCATGAAATTAAAAACAGGAAACAGTTCTCAGTGTAACAAAAGCGTCCAGTGTATTTAACTCTGTGCCGTGTTTCAGGAGCCCCACATTGTGTAAGTGACAAAGCATTTATTACCCGGTTTATTGTGGTATCACAGAGTGGAGAGCGCTAAATAATCAATCAGTTAATGGTCTGTATGGCAGTTTGAGCACATCACATCCATTGTGCTTATGCTGTTAGAAGGATGAGCTGATAACTCCAGTGCATGTTGCATGTTTATTCAGAGCCTAATGTCTCAAACCAGGGCTGACAGAAATCTTGAAAAATGCAGCTTCAGCATTGGCATTTTCTAAGTTGTTGAAATATTTTTTGAATAACTTTGAGAGGCTTTGGGTACAAAAGTCCTGAAAGATAAGAGCTGGAATTGCCCTTTTTATTATTTCTACTTTATCATTTCTCTTGAACTAGATTGAGGTTTTAGAATTTTAAAAAAAATGTTTTCTAATTTGGGTCAGATTTTTACCTTAACTCCTTTATTATCATTTTATGAAGTGCCCCAGTTCAGTAAAGTGCTTATTTGCAATGTGCTTATCACATCTTTGGATGTTGCTCACTATGCTGTGTGGATCTCACCTTCAAAGCATGTTGCAAGTGAGCTTAGTTTAGGTTCCTGTGTAACATAACTGGGAAGTAACTCTTAGGCGCTGGTTTGATGAGAAAATGTCAGTTACAGGTTTTAGATGAACAAGAAAGGGACAGAAAGAAAAAAGAGAGACATTCAAAATCAGATCTTTTTGAAAATGCTTCTGAATTAGATGGTAGTAAGAAGTAGGATTCTTGTGCAGATGTCAGAAACATTTTCTTTGAATCAAGACGGACTTTTTAAGACTCCTTTGGTGGTTTGAGGTGGCCCCTTAATTTCTCTTGGTTTATTTTTAAATGAGGGTCTCTTACATAAAAGCTCTAACTCACGTTTTCTCTTCTTTCTAGGGGATAAAAGCACTGACTACGCCAATTTTTACCAGGGTTTGTGGGACTGCACAGGTGCTGTTTCTGATGAGTTATCATTTAAACGTGGTGATGTGATTTACATTCTTAGCAAGGTAAGAAGATACTCGAAATGACAACTGTAAGGGTGAATGCAAAAGTGGATTTGTGTGTGTTTGGATTACAGCACTGGGGAAAATGCCAATTGGAATTCTTCTCGGTCCTTGTTAACAATCGGGAGTTCACAATAATTAATTATTTTGTCAAGTGAAATATAATCAAAATTTAAACACAATCAGATAACAGGATTCAACTTCACAGTGTGTTTACCTATCACTTTAGCCTTTGGCTCACATCCACACACTGCCTTCTCCAGAAACAATATACTTATGTGAAAGTTAACATTGTAAGGTATTAGGTTATTTATTATGTTTTTCTTTCCTCTTCCTTTTTATTCTTCTGTGTGCTTACTCTGATTTTGTCTGCCATTCACTACTGGAAACACTGTGTTTATAGAATAAGCTTTTCATCTTTATGTAAATACATCGGGTGTTCCGACAATTTAAGAGCGATGCTTTTCTATTCAGACAGGTTTAAGTAATTTTTTTAAGTTTAACATAATAGTAAAGTATATGGCTATGAACCCATCTTTATATGTTAAAAAATCATGTTTCTGCCTCTCTAAGATACTGGATTATTCAAAATCTTTCCTTCAGTCTAAAAGTTTCTTATTGTGATTACGCTTCTGATGATGTGTGTGAGCTCCCTTAAACTTAACATTTTAACTTTTCCCATTATGATATGGATAATAAAAAAGTATTTCCTTCAGTCTCCTTTATGAGGCTATTTTAGAAACAAATGATATATGGAAACTACTTATAAGTGTGGCAATGTTATATAAATTATAAGTCTAGGAACTTAATGTGGTTTCATGATTAGAGAAATATTTTAGACTTTTCAGGAAGAATATGATCGTTAGATACAGAAGAGACTTTGGAAATAAGGTCACTTACTGAATTTTAACACTAGTTGGCTGGTGCATAAAATCATAACAGCGAATCACAGAGCCCTTGAGTGAGGGGTCATCTGTCTATTCCTTGTGTTTACAGGTAAGGGAACCTGGTCAAGAAAGTGCCAGAGCCTGTGCTTACCCAGGCATCTCGACTTCCAGACCAGGGCTTTCTGCTCTGTTTTTTTCTTGTGCTTGTACCTTTCTTCCTTCTTCCATCACTCTCTCTCTTCCTCTCTCCTCCCTCCCTTTTCTCTCCCTTCTTTTCCACCTGTGTTTAGTTTGAAGCCGTCACAAAGTACCCATAATGTGCCAGGTCCCATTCTAAGCACCTGAAATGCAAAAGAAATAAGATATAATCACTTGGAAAATATTTAGCAAATATTTAGAAAATATATAGTCAACTGTGGTAATTGCTAGTTGAGGTGCCCAAACCTAAGACTTGTCTTTTATTTCTCAATCCTCTGTTCATTAGTGTGGGAATTTTTTTTAAGAAAGACATTTTTACTTCTTAGAAGCTATAGATAACTGTATCACAACTCTTGGATCAAACTTATTATTGGGATGTAATTGCCTGAGTTAGGACAACATTTTTTGAATTAATTACTTAATATAGAAACCAAACTGATTAGTTTCAGTTCTAGACGAACTTCCTTGGCATCATTCCTGAGATTTACTTAGCTCACAGTTTCTCTCACCGCTTTAGCTGCAATTGTGTATAAAATTAAAATGTTGATTAGCTTCCACTCAGAGTTTCAGATTACAGGGGTAAATGGTGGCTTGCCATTATGTTTCTGTGGTAAAATATGAAACCCAGGAAGCCCAGGTGGATCTATTCTTAAAGTCTTCCTTTAGAAGCAAGATTCCCATTTAGGCATTTACCATTCCTCCCATTGCCTGTGAAAGCATTTTCTGTTCATATGAAATTATACATGTGATCATATAGGTGCATTGTATTTCTAGGATTTCAGGGAAGGTAATGCTGGTACTCCCCAAACTGCTTTGTGGAGATTGTAATTTTGTATGTGAAACCTGACCGTAGAGCCAAAGGTAGAGGTGGTCCAGCCTACGGGAAGAGCATACCAACATCGAAGGTTTCTAAATGCTAAAAAGCACATGATCAGCATTGGCCGAGTGATTAACTGTCCGTATTCACCCGGCTGTGGACCTAGTAGAATCCACCAGGTGAATCTCAGTGAGTGTGAAGTAGAGGACACTTAGCTATTCCTCGTTGAAATTTGGACACATTTGGGGCCACTGATGGATGTTGTGGCTGTTGGCTGTCAGGTGGCTTTGGGGGTTAGTGTATGTTTGTGAAGAGTCTAGTTTCTCCACTTTGCTCTGGGCAAGTTCACACTGAAAACTAAAGTTTTACTTGGTTTGGCCTTGGCCTTTCTGTTTTTATCAAAACTTTGGTAAACATAGACCATAAGTTAATATCATCAATTCACTTAATATATGAATGAAGATAGTAGTTTGAATACTTGGCTTTACTGTAAATTTAGAACTCAAGGCCCTCAGTAGAAGAGAGTGAAAAATTGCTCGAAAGGGCTTGTTTTTAGATCAAAGTAGAGCTGATCTTATAGATTGATAGATTTTTTTAAAGTACAATTATTATAGAAATCCCTAGATTGTTACATGCCTAGAAATTTGTTTAATTTTTCTCAGAGTTATAGTAAGACTTCACGGGCTGGAATGAAATTTTACCGGTTTAATTTATTTTTTACACCATCTAGTGGCTCAGAATGAGTGGTGCAGCTAATTGCAGATAATGTGTACAATCAAAGTGATGTCATAGATCCAACTTTAAATCCAGCTATGGGCTATTACTTGGCTATCTCATGTCAATAAAGTATTGGCATTAATCAGGAAAATTTTTTCATCATTCTGAATGAAATGTAAAAATGGTATACATAAGGAAAAATACACAGTGTTTATGGAGACATAGAAAATGTATTTTGTGAAGAAATTAACACTAAACCTTTCCTAATAATAACAGCATTTAAGAGTTTAAGGAAATATAACTTGCTTTTAGTAATTAACTGATCTATAATTTTCAGTATTTATTTATTACTGTTTGCCTTACCTTCTAGAAGTTGTCAGTTCTGAGAATACTATTTAAAAAGTCTGCACAAGATAGTTTAAGAAAAGATGGACTTTTGATATAAATTAATATTAATTCATGAAATAAAATGGCATACATTATATTAAAGAGAGTTTTAATTTTGTGAATGGAATGACAGAAGAGATTTAACTGGCTTGATGATTACACTGTCTTCATTAAAATTCACAAGAGAAAGTTTCATTTATAAATGCAGTCTTTTTCTGCTTTTGCAAGGAAGCCTGGAAGGGATGTCGGCTGTGCTCAGTCAGCCAGGGGTCAATTTATTTAGTTTAAGGCCTCTTTTGGGAGTTTTACAGATCTCAGCCTTTCTTTTTAAATTTTCAGTGAAAATCAAATGTTGCAGTAAAGAAAGAAGAGTGGGCAGATGCCCGCCCTCACCCCCCTTGCCTTTTTAACGGTTTCCAATTAGCAGCTGTCATGTGACCCTGGCTGAGCTGGCTCCTCCTTCAAAGTGGCCCTCCGGTTTCTTAGTTCTAACCTTTGAACCTCACAAGTAATAAATCTAAATAGTGCCTAAAAAGGCGAGCCAGTGGTAATGTTTTGCTTACAGTTCTTTTCATATAGGGTTGCTGCTGTTTTTCATGTTAAAATAAAACACTTTATATAGACTTGAATAGTTCAGGGGAGATTTCTAAGTCTCCCCCCCCCCCACACACACCCCAAAGTGGAGCACATTATCCGAGGTGGGTAAATCTGGAATTTGTAATTTTAATAACAGCTGCATTGTTAGTGAATTAGCCCTGAAACACAAGGCCTGGTTTCAGATTAACTTCATAGGTAAAAATAATATATCTGAAATAGAAAATCTCGTATTTATTTAGGAATCAGGTTGTTTAAAATCATGCTAACTTCTTTTACTAGTTTGCATTTCAGTTTTATTACCACTTAAAACATGGGTCTATTATCACTGTCAATACTATTTTCCTACAACTATGTTGGTGAAATTTTATAATTTTAATAGCAGGATCCAGGTTATGTAGCTATAGGCGTATTCCGTGGCATACCTCTTTGGTATGTTATTCTACTTGCTGTTCTGGATTTACATCTTCCCTTAGTTTATCTTTCAATCTGTACTCATTGGTAAATTGCTAACCACATTCCTACTCTTACTTTTAAAGCAATAAATTATTTTTAGAGACTTAATGACAGAAGAGCTGTGCTTCAGCAGGAGGGAGGCGTGCTCCTGTGGTACTAACAGGAAAATCAAGAGAGTAAAGAATCCTGGAATATTTTATCTAGTCCCGGGCATATGTGACTTGAGCTTTCCAGTTTTTTTTTTAATAATTTAGGTCAAAAACAGGAAATGTAGGTTGACAGTGTTCACTAATATACAATAAAAGGACTTTTTTTAGTGCATATTGGTTGGAATTCCAGTTGTTGCTCTTTTTGTTTGTCACTTTTTCCAAGGATTAGTGAATTGTGTTTGTCACCGATTGTTTGCTTCTCGTTGTGAAAATGTAAAGATTCATTACTAGAGCTTTTTTTTGGCTTCTAACCTAACAGAAAAATAAAATAAAATAAAACGAAAGTCTTGCTGTGCTCTCCTGGCACAGGGAAATACAGGGTTACTTTTTAGCTTGGTTTTTCCTTGGTGACCGTCTGACCCCTTGTGCCACAAATAGCATGGCCGACTGCTGAGGAGTAACTAGGACGTCTCAATGTAGGACACATGTTGTTGGCACTAGGCTGGTTCCCAAAATGTTGTCATATCTGACAGCCTTTTGGGGAGGAGAAGTACCGGGGGGTAATTGTACTTGTAACTGTGATTGTTTAGGTCCGGTGGCATTTGCTTCCTATGCTATCAAAACAGGGACGCTGTGGCCTGGGGTACAGTGAGGCAGGAGCCCACCGCTCCCTAATATTGATACACAGTTTAGGGACACAGCTCCACGTCAGAAGATGTCCTGGCTCCACTCGTGGGACTCCTTATCCACTTGCAAACATGCTCGAGTACTTCTCTATGTTCTTCTCGTATATGAAAT